AGCCGAAGGTCTTCGGCAAGTTTCTCACCCAAACGGACGTGAAGGACCGCTTCCAATCGTGCCTGAAAACGAGCCCACGGGGCGGCTCGTACCTCAAGCTGAAGATGGACTGGGGGCGAGTCCGCATGTGGGGGCCCAATCAGGAGGAGCTGGCGGAGCCCGGCAACCTCGCCGGCAGGGAGTGCAGGGTCCGGTGCGAGCTGCGCCAAATATGGCTGATGTCCAACCAGTGCGGCCTACTGCTCGAAGTGACCGATGTGCAGCTGAAGGACTACGAGGCCGCCGGTCCCGCGTGCCCCTTCTAGAGCACGGTCAGGAGCTCGCTGCTGGTGGCGCGGCTGGTGCCAACGTAGAGGTGCTTGAGAGTGAAGTGCGGGCTCTCGGTGTCGCACAGGAAGACCCGCCCCTCGAGCGTCAGGCCTTGGCACGAGGCGTAGGTGATGGCGTGGCACAGCCGGGTGTGCTTGAGGAGGGCGGCGTGGGTGAAGGAGTCGCCGCCGTCCAAGACGATCTTTTCGGGGCCCACTTCGGCCACGTGCACGTAGATGCCCTTGCTGACCCGGCCGCCGGCCCCGATGAGCTTCAGGCCGGGCCAGACCCCCATGGTCTGTGGCATGTTGGTGGTCGTCGGGCCAGTGCCGGTGTACTCGATCGTGACAGCTTCCGGCGGGGCCAGGCGACGGTTGTCCCGGGTGTTGATCCTGATGCGGTGGGCGTGGGAGATGACCAGGCTGACGTCCGGCTCGCCTTGTCAAGGAAATCTTTCTCGGGCCGCGTGGAGCGCCTCGGCCAGGCGCTGCTCCCGGGGCTCGTCGACCCCAAGCCAGGTCAGGAAGTCGAAGATGCCCGGGTCGCTCCTCATGTTCTCGGTGAGCTCGTGGTGCCAGCCGTCGGTGAGGTCGTGGAGCAGCTGGCAGTGCTTGAGCTCGCGCTGCACCGGAGTGCCCGCGAAGTTGTCCATGATCGCGGGGAACTGGCGGAAGTCGCCGAGCAGCAGGAACTTGATTTTGCGGTTCATGGAGACACAGGCGATATCGTTCCACAGCCCGGTGTCGAGCTGCGTGATTTCCTCCGCCACCAGCCAGTCGATGTTGCAGTACCCGTTCCGAACGGTGCTCCGCACCCAGTGGTCGGCCGTCTCCGCCTGCATGCCGAAGTTCTGCACGGAGGAGTGGGTCTTCGTGATGATCTTCACCTTGTACCCTTCTTCCCGGAGGGCGGTCACGATCTGGCGCGCCAGATAGGTTTTCCCGGTGCCCGGGTAGCCGGTCAGCAGCAGGCTCCCACCCTCGAGGCAGTGGAGCACCGGGTCCTCTGCGACCTTCCAGGTGTCAATGTTGCACATGCACTCCGCCTCGATTCGGGGGATTCGGTACTGGCCTTCGAGGCCCTTGACCTCCTCGCATCGGTACACGGGCGTGCCGTCGGGGTGTTTTGGCGGACCAGTCCGTCCACGAGGCCCTGGAACTTTTTGGGCAGGTCCTGGAAGACGACGCAGTCCGTTTTGACGGCCTTCAGGTACCTCGGCGGCACGGTTGCGAGTGCATCCCGGATTCTGGAGACGGCGACGTACTCCGAGGCCATCACGAAGTCGTGCACGGGCCGGCAGCTCCGATTGGACAACAATTGGGTCACGTAGATGTGATCCCAGTGCATCCCACCCGCGGCGTCCAGGAACAGCTCCCGGTGCTGGCACCCGGAGCCGTCGAACTGGTGGTTGCTGGTGCGCATGGTGTAGATGAGGTTCATGTTGCGTGCCCAGAGTCCGATGAGGGCGTTCACCGACAGCTTCGCGTAGTGCTCTTCTCCCTCCGGCCAAGCCGCCTCCATTTGCTGCAGGGCCTGAGTCACGGACTCCTGGTCCACGTGCGCCGTGGCGTCCAGGCTGTACACGAAGTCGCGCCAGGTCGCAAGGCCCTTTTCCAGCATGTAGGCCACCGCAGGCTTCGCGTACCAGCCCTGACCCACGTAGGGGAGCTGCTTGAAGGCCGCCCAACGCCCGTCCTCCCGGAGCTTCACGTAGGTCAGGTCCGCCAGGTGCCCTTCGCGGGCTTGCTCCACGTTGTCCTTGGGGCAGAAGATGGGCGCCGGGAACTTGGCATGGGCCAGGGCGTTCTTGCGGCACCGGACCACGTCGATTCCGTGGCAGATGTGGTCCGGCTTGTGGCTGTTGAGCTTGAAGACGAGCGGTGGGAGTCGGGGCGATTCCACGTACTGCTCGTAAGCCTGCCGGCTGAAGCGCGACTCCAGTGTCGTGGCGTGCGAGAACTCCAAGGCCGTTTTGTTCCGGTGGCATTCGAGGCACAGGGCCTGGAGATTCTGGGCCTGTGCGGCGAAGGACTGGTGCACGGGAACGATGTGGTCCAACTCGCATGTGGTTGCGGTGATGGGGGCCGCGCAGAGCTTGCACTGATGGTCCTGCTCCGAGAGCAGGGCTTGCCGAGATCCGGGCGGATCGCGGCGGGCCTTGAGAAGGTGAAGGAAGACCTCGCTCGAAGCGCCTGCCAGACGCTGCCCGTAATAGGGGAGCCCCATCCAGGCCTGCAGCACGTCCAGGTCTTCGTGGAAGGCGGAGATGACGCAGTCCTCGCCGCCCCGCACCCTCAGCCGCAGGCACCGCCACTCGCTCATGCTTCGCATGACCACCTTCGGGCAGTGCCCCTCGGCCAGGAGCTCCCTCCGGACCTGCTCCAGGTCCTCGGCGTAGAAGTGGCCGCTGGTGACCTCACCCTCCCACTCCCGCCAATGGCGTTTCGCCCGGCCTCCTCTCGCCCCTATACCTGGCCCGCTCCCCGATCGGCTCGCACTTCGCGACGGTGCGGGCGGATTTGTAGAAGAAGGCGTGGCCGTTCCAGCTCGTGAAGGCCACGGCCCGCTGCTCCTTGACCGAAGGCTCGTACTTGTCCAGCAGGCGGCCCTGGCAGTCCACGTAGAACATCGGGGCTTGGCGCCAGAGGCAGAATTCCCGGATCTCTCGGGGGGTGATGCCTTGCTCCCGCCACGTTTTTTGGGTGCAGATTGCGTCGAAGTCCGAAAGCACCTCTTGCAGCGGCAGCCGCATCAGCTCCGCGAGCTGCCGAGGGACGCAGAGCTTGTCCGGCCGCTGTTCGAAGGCGGACTCGAGGATTTCGTCGCCGCAGTACAGCTGGTAGGAGACGTCCCGCAGAGCCCCCAGGGGCTGATCCAGGACGGTGTCCAGCACCACCTGGTTGTCCACGACCTGCATGGCCTGCTGGCTGAAGGTCCACTCCCTCGTTGCGTCCAGATAGTAGGTCTCGTCGGACAGCTCCAGGATGATGTCGTTCGGCTCGGGGTTCCCCAGCTGCGCGAGCACGGACGCTCGCAGGTTGCAGGCTGCCTGGGCAGGAAAAGTGCGTGTTAAGTGGAGCTGTGTCTGAACCCGTAGTGAACCCTGTTCTTTAACACGTATTGTTTCTGTCCAAAATGGGGCCAAAACTGTGGGACCTACCCAGGAAGCCCGCGGAAATGTGAACTCTTGTTTGGTGTATTGTTTCTATCCAAAATGGGGCCAAAACTGTGGGACCTACCCAGGAAGCCCGCGGAAATGTGAACTCTTGTTTGGTGTATTGTTTCTATCCAAAATGGGGCCAAAACTGTGGGACCTACCCAGGAAGCCCGCGGAAATGTGAACTCTTGTTTGGTGTATTGTTTCTATCCAAAATGGCCAAAACTGTGGGACCTACCCAGGAAGCCCGCGGAAATGTGAACTCTTGTTTGGTGTATTGTTTCTATCCAAAATGGGGCCAAAACTGTGGGACCTACCCAGGAAGCCCGCGGAAATGTGAACTCTTGTTTGGTGTATTGTTTCTATCCAAAATGGGGCCAAAACTGTGGGACCTACCCAGGAAGCCCGCGGAAATGTGAACTCTTGTTTGGTGTATTGTTTCTATCCAAAATGGGGCCAAAACTGTGGGACCTACCCAGGAAGCCCGCGGAAATGTGAACTCTTGTTTGGTGTATTGTTTCTATCCAAAATGGGGCCAAAACTGTGGGACCTACCCAGGAAGCCCGCGGAAATGTGAACTCTTGTTTGGTGTATTGTTTCTATCCAAAATGGGGCCAAAACTGTGGGACCTACCCAGGAAGCCCGCGGAAATGTGAACTCTTGTTTGGTGTATTGTTTCTATCCAAAATGGCCAAAACTGTGGGACCTACCCAGGAAGCCCGCGGAAATGTGAACTCTTGTTTGGTGTATTGTTTCTATCCAAAATGGCCAAAACTGTGGGACCTACCCAGGAAGCCCGCGGAAATGTGAACTCTTGTTTGGTGTATTGTTTCTATCCAAAATGGGGCCAAAACTGTGGGACCTACCCAGGAAGCCCGCGGAAATGTGAACTCTTGTTTGGTGTATTGTTTCTATCCAAAATGGGGCCAAAACTGTGGGACCTACCCAGGAAGCCCGCGGAAATGTGAACTCTGGTTTGGCGTATTGGCATGATTTCGTTGCAGTGGTGCATGATTTTCACATGATCTTGGCATGATTTCATTGCAGTTGTGCATGATTTTCACATGATCTTGGCATGATTTCATTGCAGTGATTGTCCTGCGCTTGCTCCCTCGAATACAGCATCAACAGGCAATAGCAGCAAGTGTTTTACACAAGCATCTTCATGTATCATTTATATTATATATATCTTTGTTTTCAATTCTGACGGTAGAGAGTGTTTGGCATAATTGCGCATGTCCATTCTACTTTCATTGAAATATTCTTACACCAAGCAGCCATGTCATGTGATTTGAGGAGCCTCGCCTTCGTGAGTGCAACTCTCGATACATGGCTTCGGTATGTGAGACCATTCCGGCTAGCAGGCTACACCACAGCTTCGATAATGGGTTTAGGCTTCGTTCTACGACTAGAAGCGACATCTTTGCAATTGAGGCAAGTGGAAAGATGCTTACATACTGCACGTGCGAAGTATGCAGACACAACGTTTCCCTACACTTTCAGTGAGAGCTTGCAGTCTCGACAAGGACGTGGCATGGGCTGTTGCGAAGTTTATCATGACAGTGATCGATTGTGTAAGTATTTTGTGGACATGGTGCATGTTGCAACCCGCAGTTTTATTACAAGACAACCATGGGATCTGCCGATGAGCTGGTCCGTTGTTAAATCCCTCGGACTACGGACGACTATGCTGCAGCTTCTTCCAGAAGACTCTTGCCCACGATGTTGGTTCCAGAATCGGGTTCGAGTGTCTGCAGGGTCAATCAGAGGAGAACCAGGACTTGCTACATGTCAGCATAAAGTGTCGTGCCCAAGAGACGACAAGAAATTCAGAAACAAGCGGAAGCAGAAAAGACAGGATTGGCATCAGAGGCGACGTGAAAATCTTATCACCGATCATGCCGAAGTTCAGAGTCGATTGAAGACATTCTTGGAAGATCACTGTCAATGGACGGATAGATCCAACGCGACTCATGTGAGTGTGTTGAAGAAGTTTGCGAGTACACGCTGCTATACTACCTTTCAGAAGATTGGTCTGGCTTTCACAGCTCTAGGCATGAAATCTGAGGCTCGCAGAGATGCAGCTGGGCGGATTGTGACTAGAAAGTCCGCGAGAATTGGAGAGCACAATTGTGTCAAACTCCTTTCCGAAACCGAGAAGGAGGTGCATCGAGAGAAGATGGTTCTCGACAATTAAGTCACGTAGCGCTGGCAACTTGCCTGAGGTTGTTGCCAGAGTAGCAAGCGAACTCCAAGGGGAAGCATGGGAGCATGGAAAGGGTGATGTCGCGCTTGAGTCTGCTGCGCATGCTTGTTTTTTACTTTTTTTGTGTCCTAAACCTTTAGAACCCTAAATTAAAAAATCAAAGCATGTAGTATTTATGAAAAATATTTGAGCCTTAAAGATATAGGTAAATCCCATACGAGATAGATCCGAAATCCCCAAAATAATAAATATAATACACCGCGACACAAAAATATCAAAAATCCCAAGCTCATCCTATGGACTTTTCAATTGTCCCAAAGCCCGAAGATCCGAAGCACTCGAATAGTGAAAGCCTATATCCTACTATTACAACTTATCAACCCCGAAAATGAAAATAGCAGACGCCCTAAACCCTTGACCTTAAGACCCCCACTCACTCACTCACTCACTCACTCTCAGTGTTAAATGGCATTGGCTCAAGACTGGACTAAGGCTGGATGTCACAAAGGAATGTTTGCATTTGTGTGACTGGGGAAAGTGATTGATCACGTCCGAGAGCCCTTCGCTCAGCCGGGACAGTGCGACGTTGAGGTCGGTGACCGGCAGGCGCTTGGTGCGCTCGTAGGGCATGCCGCGGTTCCGGCCGTTTCGCCGGATGCCGCGAATGATGACGGGCACGTGCACCACCCAGTCGACCCACTTGTCCTTGAAGAAGCTCTTCCCGAGCTTGGTCAAGGGGTTGGAGGCTGCGGAGCAGCTTTTTAGCGCCCCCCCGGAGCATGATGTAGTCGTTGGGCCCCTCGCGGATGAGGGGTTGGTTGCGGTCGTACTGCCGGCTGGGGGGCGGCCGGCCGATCAGTTGGTAGTAGTACTGGCCGGCCCTCGTCAGCTCGCCGTTGGGGCGGCTGAGCATCGCGTAGCGGAGGTGGTGGTGTGTCAAAGGAAGGGTTTCTGAGCCTGCCGCCGAGGTCCTCGCCCTGACCCCGGCCTCGGCTGCAATTCTGATCGCTTCTCGTTGCTGAGCCCAGCTCATGACTTTTGAACAACCCGCCCGGAAAAAAGGTCGCCGCCCGAGCGGGCCCCTTCGCCGGTCGAGTCTTGTTGTACAGCGGCTTGTATAGTTCTGGCTCAAGTCTTGTGTACAGCTTCGGCTCAAGCCCTGCCTGTTGTACAGCGGCTTGTACAGTTTTGGCTCAAGTCTTGTGTACAGGTTCGGCTCAAGCTCTCCCTAAACCCTATGCTCCCTAACGCCTAAACCTTATACGGCAGTTTTTTCGTTTTGCACGAACTTTTTCATGTTTCACTGCTCTGGAGCGAGCAGGCTTAGTCACTGCTCTGGAGCGAGCAGGCCTAATTCACTGCTCTGTGGCGAGCAGGCCTACTTCACTGCTCTGTGGCGAGCAGGCCTACTTTGGAAGCCACCTAAACCGAATGCCCGCATTTCGTTTTGCATGAGTTTTTGGCATGGGTTTTTTGCATGATTTTGACACGTTTGATTTTTGTTAGAGTGCTCATGCCGCACTCGCACCCTCGAAGCGTCAGCAGCACCAAGCAGCAGGCAACAGAGGGCCAGCGACAACAACGCAATTTAGGAAGGCAACGCAGGTACCGCAGACCGTTTCTCGGCCCAGATTCTCATCGGCATCTTCAACATCTTCGATCAGAGGCCGGGTTCGCGGAAGGGTTTGGTTGGCGTAGGGTTTCGTGCGGCTGCTGCGCACTTCAAGATCCCGCCCTCCCTTCCTTCTCTTGCCAGGCTCTCGTCGTGACTTTCGTTTTCGCTGAAGAGGCGGGCAGGAAGGGAAGGGGCTTTGACTTTTCGGGTTCGGCCTCGGGGTGCAGGGAGGGTCGAAACGAGGTTTGGGCCGAAAAACCGGCTGTGACTTGTGACTTTTGGGTTTTGGGCCGGCAAAAGGGCCGTGACTTGTGATTTTGGGGGGCCTGGGCTGGGAATTGAGGCGTGGCTTTTGGGTTTTGGGATTCGGGTGGCGACTGCCCCGGAGTTGAGGCGCGACTTGCTTGGAATTGAAGCGCCGAAAAGTCACACCCTTCTTCCCCGAGCCCGACGTTCAGAAGTCACGAGTCACGCCTTTGTTTCCTGAGCCGACGCCCAAAAGTCACAAGTCACGGCCGTGTTTCCCGAGCCCCACTCCCAAAAGTCACAAGTCATAGCCGGTTTCCCCCAAAAGTCACACCCTGTTTGTACCATCCCACAAGTCCCAGAAGTCACCGGCCAGACCAGGTCATCTATTGTGGAAACCCAGGGCAGGAGGGCAGGTGAAACCCGGAAGCGGCACAGGAGGGCAGCTGAAGCTTGGCAAGGGGGTGCAGGAGGCCAGGTGAAATCGGGGCAGGTGAAAACCAGAACGGAAGGCAGGTGAAACCCGGCAGGAGGGGGCGCAGCAGGGCAGGTGAAACCCGGCAGGGGGGCGCAGGAGAGCAGGTGAAACCCGGGAAGGGGGCGCAGGAGGGCAGGTGAAACCCGGCAGGGGGCGCAGGAGGGCAGGTGAAACCCGGCAGGGGGCGCAGGAGGGCAGGTGAAACCCGGCAGGGGGGCAGAGGAGGGCAGGTGAAACCCGGCACGGGGGAGGGCAGGTGAAACCCGGCAGGCGGCGCAGGAGGGCAGGTGAAAATCGGCAGGCGGCGCAGGAGGGCAGGTGAAACCCGGGAAGGGGGAGGGCAGGTGAAACCCAGAAGTGTGAGGGCAAAAAGGGGGCGGTTTTCAGCTCCTGGCGGGGCGGTTGGGGTTTCACCTGCGCTCCTGACGGGCGGTTGGGGTTTCACCTGGGCTCCTGGCGGGGCGGTTTGGGGTTTCACCTGGGCTGTTGATGGGGCGGATCCTGACGGGGCGGTGGGTTTTCACCTGGGCTCCTTGAAGGCGGTTGGGGTTTCACCTGGGCTCCTGCGGTTGGGGTTTCACCTGGGCTTCTGGCGGGGCGGTTTGGGGTTTCACCTTCTGTTTTGTCGGGCAGTGTGGGGTTTCCCTGAGTTTGCCGTGCCCTTGAACCCCCGTCCCGTGACCCCGAAATCCTCAACCCAGAAGCTGAAGCTCTAAACCCCAAGCCCAAAAGCAAGCTGGAGGGATGAACCAGCACTCAAACTGAAACAGGTAGAGCTCGACCATTCGATCATGCAGATTGCAGTGCTTTTGCTCGAGCCAGAGGACAGCTAGGACGACTGCCGCCATGAGCAGGCCTCCAGCAACATCGCGCAAGGTCGGGCGCGTGCTGGTGCTGCCGGCGCTGCTGGCGCTGTTCTTGGTGTGTCTGCCAGAGCCTAAGACCAGGGCTTTGAACACTGTTAGATGTGTTCCCGCGCAGCTTCAGGCGAGCACCGCAGACGGCGCGGGCTTTGCTTGGAGCTGGGGCCGTGCCCTTTCCAAGGTGGGTTGTTTTTTTTGGCATGGAGTGCCGAAGATGCGCAAAAGCCAGAGCGAGGTCGGTTCCTCCGAGAATTTGGGCACGCAACTTGCTCGTTGCACGCAGGGCTGAGGCGGGAAGCCGAGACCCAGAGGAAAGTCTGTTCCAGCTTATGTCCTGAAGAGCTGAGGGTGATGGCACTTTTGAGGCCGAAGGCAATGAAGACGACAAGGCGAAAAGGGTTTGTCGTGGTTGTGCAGTTCTAATGGCGTTTCCTTCGCTCCTGCCCGTTTCTGACCAGGGGCCTTTGGAACCTCGTGACAGCAAAAGCAAGGCGAGAGTGGTTTGTCCTTTCGGTGTGTGTGTGTGTGTGTGTGTGTGTTCGGATATCGAATCGGCTGCTCGGCGGGAGCATCAGATGAATCTCGAGGAGCTTGAGGGATTGATTGCGATGGTCTCATGCTTGCATGAAACGGGCCTGCTAGCAGCACATGTAGGTCTCCTCGAGATCAGTCCATGTTGGGAGGCCCCCAAAGAAAAGGATGACGTGGAAGAGGCCGAGGCACTTTCAGGGAGCCTGTTCTTGCTGGTGATGGCTTTGCAGTTCTGTGTGGCTCCTGCAGGCCACAGCAAGCTTCGATCAGGCGGGCTCTGCGAAGTCTCGCTGACACTAGCATGTTTGAGGATGTGCCCCTTGCTGCAGGTTTCGCGAAACAAGGCAGTGGATGAGGCGCTTTGCGGTGTCTCTTGCTTAAGTGTTTGTTTTCCTTTCGGTGTGGTGGGGCCAGAGAGCTTCAGACGAATTTCGATGAGCTTGAGGGGTTGCTTATGCAGGCTGCCTCAGCACAGACTGCTGACCCGGTTGAAGATGCCAAGCAGGCTGTGCCTCCGAGGGTGTTGTTGCTTGCCTTTCTTGTTGTGGGCTGCGTCTGAGCGGGCTCTTTGAAGTTCGCAATTGCAGATTGTGGCCTTTGCCCAGGACGAGCAGCTGCAGCAGACGGTTCAGGAGACAGAGGAGATCAAGGAGGTGCTCCGGCTCTTCTGCAGCACGTCTCAGAACCGGTAAATTCTAACATTCGTGGCGTGGTTGTGGTCTTTACAGGACAAGGGCTTCGACGAATCCACCGAGAAGGCCAGAGCTGGCTGGCAAGACGCTGTGTGTGAGAATGTTGTTCTGCTACTGGACCTGGCAGGTCACTAACGCACAGAAATTTCTAGCGCTGGCTTTAGCGAGATGGGAAGGAATCGAGAAGGATCTGACGTTGGTAAGCGAAAAGTGGCGAGAAGCCATACAGAGGGGCGACGAAGAGGAGGAAAGAAAGTGGGAGCAGGAGCGCAAGGAGGCGAAGGAGGAGTTCGACAAGGCCAAGGCGGAGGCCGAAAAGGCCAAGGAGGAGCTCGAGAAAGCCCAATCAAGCCAATCAACAGCACCCCTTCAGGCCGGCGGTGCTTTTGCGCTTCTGCGTGTGCAGTTCGTGCGCTCCACCATTGTTGCTTTTTGGGGTCATGCTCTCCTCTCGGCAAGGATTCCCTCGTCGTTAAGCTTCACTGTGTTGGCTTGCAGCCCTGCGGGGAGCGGGAGGGGCTCTTGGCTGCTTCAGGTTCAGGCAAATCTGGTTGCCCTTTGTGTCTTGCCGATGCTTCACAACGGCGTGTCAGTCCTAGGCTCGAGATGGGGAGGTCAGCCTGTTTTGCGCTCGCTCTGTGCTCGCTCTCCAAGTTGCGGTTGCTTTTGTTTGAGGCTCGACTTTCACGTGACTGTGTCCGTGAGGGGGGGGGTCAAGGGAGTCAACCTGGGTTCTTCGTGCTTGCCTTTAGCCCGCGCACCTTGAAGAGCAGTGGGGTTCCGGCAAGACGAGTGCCGGCCGGGGGCTTCTGTGTGAGCATGTCGCCTTTGGTTTGTTTCACTCATGCATGTCCGGGGGCTCTTGGTCGTCGTGCGTTTTCGTGCGGTCCACCGTTGTTGCTTTTTTGGGTGCTGCTTTCCTCTGAAGATCTCCTTGTGGTTAAGCTGTCTCCACTGTGTTGGCTTCCAGCAGTTCGGGGAGCAGAGGGCTCTTGGCAGCTTCAGGAAATCTGGTTGCCCTTCGTGTTTTGCCGATGCTTTAGAACGGGGTGTCAGTCCTAGGATCGAGGTGGGGGGGGGTCAGCCTGTTTTGAGCTCGCTCTCCAGGTTGCGGTTGCTTTGTTTTGAGGCTCGACTTTCAGGTTACTGTGTCCGTGAAGGGGGGGGGGGGGGTCAAGGGAGTCAACCCTGGGTGCCTTTAGCACGCGGACCTTGAAGAGCAGTGGGGTTCCGGCAAGACGAGTGCAGGCCGGGGGGCTTCCGCGTGGGCATGTTGTCTTTGGTTTGTAGCACTCCTGCTTGACCGGAGCTCTTGGTCGTCGTGCGTTTTCGTGGGGTCCACCGTTGTTGCTTGTTGGGGTAATGCTTTCCTCTCAGCACTGTGTTGGCTTGCAGCAGTTCGGGGAGCGGGAGGGGCTTTCGGAGCAGAGGGCTCTTGGCTGCTTCAGGTTTTACGCAAGTCTGGTTGTCCTTCGTGTTTTACCGGGTGTTGGTGCTGGCAGTGAGGCTAGAGGTGAGGGTCTGCGTTGCTCTCAGGCTGCAGTTGTTTTTGCGGATGAGGTTCAGGTTACTGTATCTGTGCTTGTGTGCTTGGCCACCCTGCTGTCGCAGTACCGTCGGTGTTGTTGTCTTTCTTGATTTGTCGGGGTCAGGCAGGGCCCGAGACGCCAGCGTTTTGCAGGGCAGCAGGTCACGGGGCACCACGTGAAGCTTCATGCGAGCTGTGCTTGTGTCGTGTGTTCTGGCAATGCCTGATGCATGCAGGCTTCATCTGGGCTTCATTGGAAGCATGACGAAGATGCTACGAAATTCGCTAACGAGCTGCGAGACGTTTCCTTGCTGAAAAACAACTCTGTTGGAATTGACCTGGACTTGGCAAAGAATGTCAGCATGGACATCTACCCGCTCACGCGCAGCCTCAACCCAGATGACAAGAGCAAGCCTTTTCTTTTCGTCAGGAACCAAACTCGTGTCGTATGGCAGATGGCCAGGAACAAGAGACGCGTAGCGGTGATAGGCTCCCCTGGCATCGGGAAGTCCTTCTCCATTTTCTACTTCCTACGTCTCCTCATGAAGGAGAACCAGACCTTCGTCTTCGAAGCACGCAAGTGGGGCAGAGTGTATTTGTTCCAGCCGGGCAGCGGGGCCTACACCGTCGGCAGTATGGGGCTTAAGCCTTGGAGCGCTTCTGACTGCAAAGAGCTGAAGGTCTCTCAGAACCACTACGTGATCGACCCGGATAGGGCTGAGGACGGCAAAGTTGTGTCGGTGTGTGCCAACACAATCATCGCTCCTTCCCCTGACGTCAACCACCTGGGTGAGTTCCGAAAGACGCCCGGTTTAGTCAAACTTTACATGGCGCCACTAACTCTGGAAGAGACGATGGTTTACGCCCCGTACTTTGGCATCGATCAGCAACGGACTACCCAGCTTTTTCAGGATTTTGGTGGCGTCCTCCGGAAAGTGATGGCGACAGAAGCTGAGGTCAAGGATCTACGAAAGGAGAGGGAATCAGTAGTAGGGGACAAGGGACTTGTGAGAACGTTTTTCAACTCTGGTGGTGTACTGCATCACAGCCAGGGGGCAAAACCATTGAGCCAAGTGTTTCTCATTGTCCCCTCCGAAGAAGATCCCACGGATTACCATGTGGAGTTTGCGGGAAGCGGGTCAGAGAATGCCTTGGTCAACAAGTTTGAGACGGAGCTCAAGACCCTGTTGAAACCCCTGCAGCAGGGCTCGCAGCTTCTGGACGACATCTTCGAATCTTTCGCTCACAACATTCTCAGCAGCGGCGGCAAGTCTTTCCACATCCGAATGCTGGGTTCGGGAGCTCCTGTTTTTTCGGCAACCCTAAAGCCGTCCCACAGGCAAAAGGTCAACGGAGGGCTACTCGAGCTCCTCAATACAGCTGCGAGCCAACCGAACGCTTACTGCACAGCCAAAAAGGAAACAGCAGTCATCGACGCAGGCTTTCTCGACAAGAATGGGACCTTGCATGCCTTTCAGATAACAACAGGCAAAAGCCACACGTTCAAGTCGGACAAGATGAATGACGCGCTAGCCAACATGAGCAACCCTCCAAAAAGGATCAAACTGTATTGGGTGGTACTTGCAGAAGCATTCTTTGGCTTTTCAAGAAAGCCAATGGCCGGTAACATCAACCGCATCACAATCGAAGAGACTGTTCTAAGTCTCAGCGATCCAAGAAACCCACTTTCCAAAGAGAACCTCGAACGAAGACTCAACGAGCTTCCGAGCGAGGAGGCCAAGCTTAGCGAAGGACTTACAAGAAGGCTGCAAGGCTGGCAGAGCAGGCCACGGCTTGACTCGATAAAGTCTAAAGACGAGCTCGCAAAGGCTCGCGCACTGGTGACCTTTGAAGAGAGTCACGTCAAGGATTTGTGCAAGAAGCTTGGGATCAAGCAAACCGTGGAATGGCTCGAGCAAGCTGTCAGAAGATGGACAGAACTGTTGGAAGCTCTGAAACCTATGCCCGACGGACCGCGAAAGCCAACAGAAAAAGAGTCCCGCGAAGATGCTGCTGAGTACTTACTTTAAAGTGTGTTTTAGAAGTGTGTTCTTGCGCTTCAAGACTTTGCTTACATTGTGCAGTTGCAGGCCGGATGGTCAAGGCGATGGTGAAGCTGAGGAGGTGTGCCGCTTGCAGCTTTGCCAGTCGTTTCAGCTGCTCCTGAGGAGAACTCTTGAAATGGATCCCACCTAGACCATCCTGAATACTTAGAACATGTATTGTGCTTTGATTTCGAAGGACTAATTGGTAGAAGGGTATCTGAGCCTTTCAGAAAACACGTGGCAACACCATGTCAGACTTGCCAGTTGGACCAACGAGCCGACGAAAGCAACACGACAAAGATGTTCTACATATTTACGACAGTATGCAAGGTGGGATGCATGAACCGAGAAAAAGGCCTACGTGTTGTTTTCTTTGTCGCCCTTTCTGTGTCGCCCCACAACATTCCCATCCATGGAGAAAAACGGCGGCTTGTGGATCGACACCGTCGGTTCCACAAAGTCCACACGAAGGTCACATGTGGGCGATTGCAGCCTCCCACAGCTTTTAGACGCTCTTCACACGAAAGCTGTGGGATTTCCTGTTCCGAACGAAACAAGAAACTGAATGGATTCGAGTCTCTAAATGGAGAAACTCCGTCTCTACCGCCGTATCTGCCGGAATCAGGCGGACTCGACCCAATCAGCGGAAGAAACTCCTACCCCGCCAGGCCGCACTATGGCCCAAAAGATTTTGCATGGATTTTGCGCGCACTTTCGGGCCTTCTAAAACCCAGCCCTGGGCCTCCTAGGCCGCGTTTTGGAGCGAGTTTCGGCCGAAACCGGGGAGAAGGACTTGCCCCACGAACGAAACAGCCAGAGACTACACCATAACATAGCGCAGTTTTGAAACATGGATACAAGAGAGAGGTCCAGTATTTCTCTAAGCCGACCGTGGGTCTTGTAGGTCAATATCCCAACTTCCAAGGCTTTGATTCCTTCAAACCACTCCAACGAGCTCCAACCGGAGTTCTGCGTAACCGGAGAGACATCCAAGACGCCTACATAGGTTTTTGGGGGGTGTTCGAACCCCCAGTGTTCCGAACTTCGAGTTCAGGGCCTCGAACACAGTGTTCAAGGCCTTAAACTTCGAGTTCGAACACCATAGTTGTCTCCGAACTTCTAGTTCGAACACTAAGTTCAATTTCCAGTTGAACTCTAAGTTCAACATTGGAACTTCCAGTTCAACTCCAGTTCGAACACTTTGGAGGCCAGAACATAACACTAGAACTTCGGGTTGAACCCCAAGTTTGAACACCGGAGTTGAACTCCGGGTTCGAATCGAACACTGGTGTTCGAACTCTAGATTCGAACGTGTTCGAACCTCGAGTTCGAACACTGGTGTTCGATTTCCGGGTTCGCGCACTGGTCAAAAAAAACTTCACACAAAAGAAGAGAAGCCATTTATGGGGACTTTTTTGCGAAGAAAAGAAAAAGAGAGAACATTCACCTACGTTTGAACTCTGAGAAACACTGGTGTTCGAACTCTAAGTTCGAACACTGGTGCTCGAACCTCAAATTCAAATACTGGTGTTCCGACACCAGTGTTCGAACCAGAAGTTCAAACACTAGTGTTACAACACAAAAGCAGAAATACACATTTTGTGACGGGTTTTGGATCCCAAGAATGGCTTCGAGATTTTGCATGGGTTCAAATGACCAACCTCTTCAGATGAAAAATTCTTGGAAGGCGCAACAGACGTTTTCAAAGGTTTTTCTGCCTCCAATATGAGCCCGTCAAATCTGTCAAAATGAATGTTGACCAGGACATTGGGAGGGAGAGTCTCTGCTAACAAGCAAAACTTGCGAGTTCCTATCGTGCATGGACGGAGTTTTGAGTTCATCACCGCACAAATAAACGTGCAGGTCAAACAGATTCAGACGGTGTGAGGTAAAAGATTGCAGGCAGTCCATCATTTCATGTGAACACTGCATGCATACGAGCATCACTGCAGTCAATAGTCGTAAATCCTAATTGCCCGTTCCGTTTTACTTTGGAAGATTCTTTGCAATTGAGGGTTCCAAGTGCTTGGAAGCAATGATTGACACGGATGTGGGAGTTCCAGAAAAGAAGCTGCTCGCACTCCAAAACCCAGTTGCTCCACGTGGCGTTGTGGGACGGTGATAAGCAGCAACCTGTTGCTTTCATGTCACAAGACCTGTACCCCCCGCCCAGGCCAGCAATAGAGAAAACGG